CTTCTAAGATGAGCATCTGAGTGGTTAATGTCTACATCTGTATCTGTAATTGATTTATATAAAGAAGTTGAGGGCTGGGGATATAGCTCAGTGGCACAAGCACCTAGCTGGCAAGTGCAAGGTCCTGAGTTCGATTCCAAAAAAAAAAAAAAAAAAAAAAAAAAGATGGATCAGGTTACAACACTAGTCTGTCATGGGTTAAAAAGAGAGTTCTGGGTACTGCTAGGAACCAAGTGCTCTAGATAGATTTGGAGTCATGTCAAACATCTGGTAGTTCTCTGCCAGATGCTTCTTGTAGCAGAAATGAGGTAGAATTTACCTAACTTAACCAGTATATTTTTAATGAAGTGATGGTAAATCTGAAGATTGAAATATAAATGAGAGTTTGTTGAAATCAGGTCAGACAGAGGCAGGATCAATAGAATAGGTAGGGTCCCCTTTGCCATGCATGCCAGAAGAACTGAAGGACGCCAGTTGCAAACAGACTGAAATAACCACCCCATAGAAAATACATGCTGGTGCAGGCACCATAACTGGGCTTGTATTCTCTGAGTCCAAAAAAGAAAATGGGAGAGAAACATGCTGAACACAGAACACAGAAACGTGCTGTGCCAGAGGCGGGGATGGAAGATCTTAGAGGATGCAGGGATTATCCTACTGTCCCATGCCTTCCTCCTTCCCCCTCTTTCTTTGCCATTTAACAGTTGAAAAAATGAGACTGATCCGCAGTTTCTCACACCACAGAATTCGCAGATTCCTTCCCCTTGGTGCCTTTTGACAAGTTCCCATGTCCGGCATATTTCCTAGAAACCAGTAGTAGCATCTGGAAGCCTGGCCACATGCAAGCTTGATTTTTGTTTCCATTTCTGCAAAAGGTGCAGTGTTACCTGCGTCTCCCATTCAGAATGCATCATCGCTGGCTTCTCTTTTGGTTATAGTGACAACCATTATTAGGGGTTGTTTCCATCCTATTCACATAGGTTATGAGATGAGCAGACTTTTATTCTATCATTTATGGGCTGAAATAATTCCACAAAGAGAGTTTTCACTTGTGTTACAACTCATACAGAAATGACAGACTGAATGCTTGATCTTCTGCCTGTATTCATCAGTACTCAAAATAAGTTTATTATCCAGGATCTTTCAAAATTAATTGTTTTCAGTTTAATAAACTACGACCTTAAACATACTCAATGTGGTTAATCCACTGCAGGAAATTCTCCTTGACATCAAAATTATTCCTTCTTTGGCTCTGGGGGTTTTTGAACTGCCTCGGTCTCCAGTAGCTTGTTTGTTTCTGCCATGCTATTTTTCTGGTTCCTCTTTCATTGTATGTATTTTCAGCTCTAGGACTACATTTCTCTGGAAATCTTTGTTCTCACTTAATGGAAAATAACGTTTAGTGATGGCAATCTGATGCTAAGCTTTGGATCTTTTCTGAATCTTTTTTGAGGTACAGATTTAGGCTATATGTCTACATTTAAACAAAATCTTAGGTTCATGTGAGCCTTCTAATTAAAATTAAAATTTATACCAAGTCTTCATTTACCCTAATCTTATAGATGCTTTTCTTTCTCACAATGAAAGAGTCAGAGTCCAAAACACCAAGATAAGTATTCATTTGCTTTATTCCCCATGTATAGAGCATTTCAATAACAGATCATGTAACATCTAATTTTGCCTGAAAGGTTAGGATAGAAGAAACAGCTGTTGACAAGATGAAGGGTGTATATTCTAATTAGAACAAACAGCACGCAGGAAGACCCAGTGTCTTCAGAAGGCATAGTTCACTTATCAAAGAGCAAATCTTATTTCCCTGCAGGAGAACAGATGGACCCCAAAGTTAGGCTGGAATTCGAACATATTTGACCTCATATTCAATCTGCAGACATTAGAACACCAACCAGACATACAAGCTCTTTTCTGTTTCATTTTCAGAAGGTATCTTCATTTATTTTTAATAAAAAATATAACTTTTCTACTTTGTTCTTCCAAGCAGAACTCAGGTATACAAAAAGGCAAAAGATCACTTTAAGAATTTCTACCCTTAACGCTGTTCTACACCAGTTCAGTGGAAATACCAGTTAAAGTAGAGCTCGGTGATTTCCTGACATTTGAAGAAGCATCACATCCTAAGGAGCCATTGTCCTCTTCTTTTTTCTGCCTGCAGAGGACAAAGTGTGGACCATCGTGTCACACGACTTGCAGATGCCAACGACTGTGGTCGGTTACACCCCAGAAAAATACTCGGTGACCCAGCTCGTCTACAGTGCCTCGATGGACCAGATCAGTGCCATCACCAGCAGTGCTGAGTACTGTGAGCAGTACGTCTCCTATTTCTGCAAGATGTCCAGGCTGCTGAACACCCCAGGTAGGCGACGAATGGAATGTTACTTTTAATGACTATCTCACCTATGTCTGGAATGGACAAAACAATCCAACGGGTGTTGCTTATTATCTTACAGTCCAGCTTTCCCTGTAGCAGATGGCTATAAAGAAGCAACATATAATCATTTTGGCTTGTTTTCTGGAGCAGTGGAGCTATGGATGTACAATTTTTAAGGAATTCCATTATTTTATGAAGCTATGGATGTACAATTTTTAAAGAATTCCATTATTTTAGGTTTATGGATTTTTTTAAGAGTATGTGCATATATCATACACATGTGTGTGCACTTGCGCACGTGTGTGTGTGTTCCTAGTGCTTAATTATCACTAGTTTGCCATGAACCAGCACAGATCTTGATGTTCCTGGAGAAAAGAAGTGAGAGGATGAAGACATAAAGATAAGAGAGAAAAGCTGAGGTCAGGTGGAACCCTCTCTCTCCTGATGGAAGGAATGGAACTGCTCAGTGGCTGTAGGGGCATTTATTTATACATTTGACGAAGTTAATATCACATAACATAATATTACCTAGTGACTAATGACTGGAATTGTCTCGGGCAAGGTGTTTCAGGACTGACATAGCTTGATTGCATTAGGCACTCTTCCTTCTCTGACTGGCCTTGCGTTGCTCCCACGTAGGTGGCCAATTTCCAGCTTCAGCTACTCCCTACACTAGTTCTTTGGGCAAGAGTTTGTCAGAACTTCTTGTGAATTTTCAAGTAAATCCCTTTGAATTTTCAGGTGTCTTTAATATAAAGATGAAAGTGTTTTAAAGAGTGTCTAAAAGTAAATCACATATAGATCAGTGATGGAGTTTAGAGCTCTTTGTAGTCTAAAGTAGAGCTTTGTAGTCTAAAGTCATTTAATGGTATCAGTTTGTCTCAAGAAACCCAACCTGAATTTCTTCACAGTGGCCACTTTTAGCAGTGCTTTGAGGTGTGTGTATATGTGTGCATATATGTGTTATAGGCATATACACACGTGTGTGCAAATCTGTCTGGGGGGTGTATAAAATCCAGGAGTCCCAAAGGTTATGTTGGAAATAACTTTATTGCAGGAAAGGCCCATGTGCTAAGGGGGTCCTGGTACTAGATTCAAGATGAGGCTTGAATACTACATCTTTGGCCTGAACCACAAAACTAAGCATGTACTCTGAGTCAAGAAGATAGGGTTTTATAATTTAAAGCCTTCCCATTTTCTAGGTATGGATACTGAGAGTCAAATTCTTTTCTTAAAAAAAATGGTCTTAATTCATAAAGTTGTGCATATTTCCCATGCAGATCACATTTATTTATATATATATATACACTACTGAAAGGTTAAACCAAAGTAATTATCATATATATTACTTATCTTTTATGGTGAGAGCTCTGAAACTCCAGCTGCCTAGTAGTTTTCAAGAATACAATATAATATTACTAACCACCTCACCACGTTTACTGGACAATAGATCCCTTGGTCTGAAGTTTCAGTTTCCAGTGTTGTTTTCTATTCAAGCAAAGATCATGTTGCCTGTTTCAGGGGAAATGTTGGGAATTTGATGGCGTAATACATTAAGTACTTACAGGATCTGATTCATTTAAGGACATAAGTAGAAAACAGTATATTGAGTTTTGAAAACTATTAAGCAACTTTCCAAGTGACATTGTGCTGTGCCAGAAGCGAACGGGCTATTTGATGCCCAAAATGAATGCTGACATAGAACCCGTATTGCTGGGGGATGGCTTACAGAAATAAAACAATAAGTAATATTATGACGTGTTTATTGCTTCTTGCATGCAAAAATCTTGTGTTATGATTACAAGCAGCTTATCCTAAAGACTCTAAGAGTGAAATGTGGAAATTCTTGATTCAGAAATGAGTCCTCCTGTTGTTTGGGAAAAAAATGATTGAGGCTGGGATGTTGGGGTAATGTGCCATCCATGAGATAGAAAGACAGGTTCAGGTTAGTGACCAAAAAATGAGCTAGAAGACAGATAAATCATACGAATGATCCTCGGGTCCTAGTGAAAGTTAGCCCAGCCCAGCCAAGGAGGGAATCCATGTGAAAGTGCTGTAAGAAATAAGGTGATGGATATAGACACGGAGGAAAGTAAATGCTGTAGTGAGGGCTGAGACTCCATCCTGGAGCCCAATGCTTCTAAGCCTTTCATGTTCATCAGAAAAGGCTGCAGAGGTTAAGAAAACACAGTGTTCATTGCCTATGTCTTTGAGTAGATCTGTGGTGGGCTCGAGAATTTGCATTTGTAATGAGTGCTGTGGTATATGCTGTGTTCCCCCAAAGTTCAAATGTTGAAGCCCAGCCCCCCTCTCCACTCCAAGTGACTGTATTTAGAGATAGGACCTGTAGGAAATAATAAAGTTAAATGAGGTAGTAATAGGACTAGTGACCATAAAAAAAAAAAAAAAAAAAAAGAAAGAAAGAAACCTCTCTGTTGAATTTTGTTGGGGAGTTTATGCAGATAAACACAAAGATCTGATGAGGTGATGCTCACCAAAGTGATCTGGAGACAGCTACTTGATCCCTCTGTGAGCTGTGTTGGGAAAAGGGAAATCTGTAAGGTACTCACAGCCCTGCAGATTTTCTGTTGCCCTTCACTTCTCATAATTCTTTATACTAGATCTTGTTTCCAGGGCTAGGTAGTGTCAGCTAAGGATTATGGGAAACCAAGGCTAGGAGGAGCCATTGATAAGTCTCACCAGCTTGTCTTCACTCTGTTCAGGAGTGAGGGCTCCCTGCTGAGTGGTCCTTACAGAGGCTCTGCTCACAGATCTGTTACGAATCCTCCATTCTGGGGTGGTGGCAAATAGCTGACCACAAACCAACTTGGTACCTTTAGCTTTATTTTCTTTCTTCTGTTCCTCTGTTCTGTTAAACTCGTTAATTTTTTATCACTGTAGTTTGCTCTTGTGGCTTAAAAAAGAAACACAATGTGGCACCCCAGGAAGTTCAAGGTGTAGTTTAGGCACCTGGGGAACAAAGTGGAAGGTGAGAAGGCAGCTCACCTTAGTGCTCCTGGTCTTGGGGTTCAGCTCCTTCCTTCCCTGACTGATGTCCTAACGTGCAGGCTCCTCCTTCCAGCCACCAGGAAGCCCCACACAGCTATCACTCTCCTTTTCATAGCATGGTATATACAAAGCTTCAGGACACACGAGATGAACTTGTTTTACAACAGTGTTTCTTACATTTTCTAATATACTGTAAACAGACTTTTCTTGAACCTCCAGAAACCCTTTGTATGGGAAGAACTACCAGATTGAAACCAAGAATGAATTTTTAGCCTGCACAAAAATACACTCTTTTCTTTGTATTGCCAAACGTGTGTAGATTATTATTGTGCTTAAATTACTTGTATTGAAAATAAGTTCACTGTACACTGCTTATCTTTTGGGACACAGTACGCGTATCAAAGTCTTTCATTCACACAGCCTTTGTTCTTACTATTCCCTAGTGTGAGTAAAATATAGCCTTCAGTATTACCTTGTCCAACCTTCAGACAGTTGTTTCAAGGGAGAAGTGTGAATTGGGATCTTTGGGGTCCTCAACACGAGGCTGGCTCCGTGGCCCTGCTGTCGGGCTTTGGTAGAACTTGGCTGGGGCTCAGGGATGGCTGTTTTTCACAAACATCCATAAGTAATTGTGTGAGTTGCAATTGAGAAACACTGTCTTTAGTTTATGCATGATGACCTCTCACATTGGAATTGAAGGTGGTCGTCCTTCATGTAAGAGAATATTAGAGAGGATACAAGGGCTTGTTTGACTGACTGGAATAAAATGGAGTACATAATTACTATCCTACAGCTAAAGTGTGTTGGTTTGATAGTATTTTTCATCCATGCCACAACGGCCTCTAGATATTGTAAAGTGAATTTCAGCCTCCCCTTCTGACTCATTTTCCATGCTCCCATTTTCTATTTTCCAAGCTGAACAATCTGCAGAACAGCTGATGCAACGAAAAGAGTGGTTGATGCAGCACATTCTGCATATTACAATATTCTGCCTATGTCAGAAAGGGAAAGAAGACAATTTAATAAAAATCTTTAATTTGTTGTTTTAAGGAGCTAACGTTTGCTGTAATTGGATTTTTCTTGCTCCTTCATGGCAACATTCAACTTTAAATATCCATTCAGTCATTCTTAACTAAGACTGAATTATATTGGAACTTCTGTAGAAGTACTTTTGACATCTGTTGGAATACAAAGTATATTCATTATAGTCATTGCAATTAAAATGAATATCAAATGGGTTTGTAATAGCTATGCACTTAAAATGTTATTCTTTATTTTAAGAGCCTTACCCTCCATAGTTAGTTTGGGTTTCTATTGTTTTAAAGACAGTTCACAAAAAAAGTTGCTGTGCAGATGGCTCTCATTTTTGTTTTGATAGATGTTTATTTGTACCATTAGTGAGCAAATGTAGAATCACTCATTATTGGCTTCTCAGAGCTTTTATAAGGATTGTAATATACGACTTTCAATATTTTCCCTATTACTCTTATAAATTTTAAAATGGAATTGACTTTAAAATGATTTTGTCATTCATCATCATATCTAGTCTTTCAATGTGACTATTAATTCAATTGCTCTTAATCAACTTTATAAAAGACATAGAGACTACACAAACCCGAGTCACTCCATTAGACATAGAAGAGGCTCTTTAAAATAAGTCATATCAATTTAGGAATGATGAAATCCGTTCTAACTACACTGAGGAAACGATGTTAACATGCTTTATATTTCTATCCTCAGAACCACAAATGTAATATCTGAACCTATGAAACATGAAAATCATTAAACAACAAGATGTACATCTGAAATGAGAACCTTAAGATCCTGAATTTGACAAATCTGACAATGAGTGTTGTGTTAGATTCTACATGAGCAAAGTCTTAGCAACCCAAATGTTTTTAGATCACTAAACTGTTTCTCCATATTTGGACAAAACTTATTAGCTTATTTTTAGAGCACTTATTTGTATATCCTGA